CAATGGATAAATGTGCCAACCCTGATTGTCAGGTAAGGCCACAACAAAATTGTCACGGCAGATCTCGATTTTGATTGGCTAACGACCGTGATTTGCAAAATTTTTGGTCCGCATTACGAATTGTTACTAATTTCCAGCCGGAATTAACTTTTTGATTTTTTTAGGAATAATTCCGGCCTAATATTTTGATCGTCGCTCTTAGCCAATCAAAACCGAGAATCTGCCATGAAATTTTGTTGCGACAGTTAGGGTTGATAATTAGTGGACAATACAATACTTAATTGCGCCACAATACCTATACTCATCTTATGTGTAAAAAGTACGAAAGAATTATAAAAACATATTTGTTCACTTAATTTTTTATCGATGCTAAAATTATTGTATTTTTGGATGCAAATTTGTAAAGAAATGCGAGCTGAATAAAAAATATATTACCTTTTTATCGATCAATTAAATCAACACAGTCTTCTTCGCAATAATTATTATCAACTTTAATAGCTTTTGTAAAAAATCATAGTAATGATAAACAAATTTATAAAAATTGAACTATTTAATTTTGGATCATAATTATAGCTGTATTTAAACATTTTTTTAACGGATTTAAATCAATCATGATTTTTGAGATCGTGTTTAAACATTTGCCAACCCTAGTCTTTATTCAACTCTCCCAAAACCCACTTATATTCCGATATAACCTAAATCCTAAATTAAAATTAAAAAAATTTTACTACAACGCGTAATTTTCACACTAGGTTTCAGAATTATTTTAAATTCCGAATCAGAAAAGTAAATAGGCGTAACCAGGGAATCTGTACGTCATTTCTTTTGAAATAAATACATCACTTATTTTTATCTATTTCTCGACAGTATCCTTTCCCAAACCCCAACATGACCATTTAGTAGCTATTTAAATCTGATACTTATCCAAATATCGTAACTCAGCAGATAACGATGTTTTTTGTCACATTATATTGCACAAAAAGAAATTATTCAGTGACCTTAATTATCTAACTTTACATACTATAACATGGAATACTTATGAATTTCGAATTTATTACCAATAAAAGTATTTTAATTTGTTTATACCAGGTTTTTGAAAAGTTTTTTGTCTGGTTCAGTCTACCATCTTTTGAATTGGTTTGAAATTTAATTCAATGTTTTTTCAACCATTTCATTGCTGCAGAAAGATTATAGGGCTTTTCAAGACTATACCAGAATAGTATCAATATTAGATACTTTTACAGTCGTCCTCCTCTATAATCACTCAGTTTGTTTTACACAAATATGTGATTATAACTATAATGTGCTTATACGGAGGTGATTTTTAATAAGGCTATTAATAAATTGTTTCAAAATTTTATGTGATTATATAAAAGTTGTGATTATATAGGAGGTGACTATAGAGGAGTACGACTGTATTTATTATACTATACAATTAACTCAATAAAAATAAGATTAATTTCAAAGATTTTTTTTATATTGTTCGATAATTTCCAATCAGTTTCATTTCTTCATTTGATTTGTCGTCTTCTGCAAGATTATTATTGTAAAGGACCGTCGTTGAATTAATTGTTAAAGTTGTGCGTTGTCAAGTGATAGCGAATTTTTCTCACATATGGTTTTTTCAGCTTCTTCACTTAATGGATAATATAATTTTCATTGAACCTAAATTGAAGACTATTAATATACATGTTTTTAAAATGTGATAAACATAAGAGTAAACTACGTCTTTGAGATCTTTATTCTCTTGAAGCTATCGTTTTTTCTTTTATTTATATGTGGATAGTAGATAATCCTCGAGAATACTCTGGTGTTTTTAAGAAATTTGGTCAGCAAATATCGGAGGGTGGGTAAGAATATTTTTGCTACCGTATCTTCGCAAAATAACGCATAGGGGGGCGTTATTTTGAATTTTGGCCCGAATTAAGCTTAGTTCGGGCCAATTTCGAGATTACACTTCTGCGCGTTATTTTGCGAAAATACGCATGATTATTTAGGAATATGGACACCATGATCTAGAATGTTTTATAATATTAAAATCTGCAAATAATCGTTGTGACCTAGGAGGGACTTATATTGCTGATTTTTAGCTCAAGATCATCATCAACATATAAAGGTTTGTCCTGGCTAATTATCTATAAAAAAATTTAAAAAACATGCCCTGACTTCACCAGGTTATCCGAAAAATGCTCAAAGCTATTTAATAAAATTATCTAAATAAATCTAATAAAATTTCCTAAGTTTTTAATAAAATTATAAGTCTTTTTCTCTATTGAGTTTCGATAATAATTTGTGGTTCCCATCCTTGTCGTTCGTGATATTTTTTGGTATGAGTATGAAGTTTAATTCTGTTCGCTTAAAAGTAGAAATCACGATAACTCCGATACAAACTCAACTTTAACCACTGTATATACTGCATTTCAATTTTCCGTAATAAGACATAAATTCCTGATATTAATCAAATTCAGATGTCTTAATTTTGACGAATGTTACCCGGATTTGATTTCTATCGGAAAATTACCAAGATTTTATAAAATAACCAGGAATTTATATGTTTATTTGGAAAAATAAATTACACGAAGCCCCTTATCTATATATGTAATAAGTTATTTTAGAAGTCCATTATATTTACTATATATATCTAATAATTTCGTTGCATAATTCATAACTATAAATACAAAATTATTTAATAATTATAAAATCCAAATAGTTTTCTTGAAATATTTATATTATACAGTATAATTATTCATAATACAGTCAACCCTCTATATAATCACCCCGATTTTTTACTTAAGAACTTTTTAAAAAATGTGCTTATAAAGAGGTTGTGCTTATATAGAGGTAGTTTTTTATAAGTTTAATAGTGATTTGTCCTTGAGTACAAAATGTGATGAAGAGAGGTTTTTATATGATGTGATTATAGAGAGGGTGATTATATAGAGGTATGACTGTATTTTGTTTTTATTTTTAATTTTTTAATAAATTAATAATTCAAAATTTAATATTAGTTAACTATAACTTTAGCTATTAATATTTTTTAAAAAATATAGTTATAAAGCTGTTTTAAATTTTATCTAAAGTTAAAATTATTTTTAATTTATTTAATTACTACTGTATTTAAACTATATACAATAAAAAAATTAGTAAATTTTAAAAAATAAAAATTTAAAGTTTGTGAATAAAAAATTGGGTTAAAATTTAATAGAATTTATATATTAGGTTATTATTAATAAGTAATGCAAACCCTCGAACATACAATATTGGCTAACTATTAAAAAAATTTTTTTTAATTGATTTACATTATGAATTATGCAATAGTTAAATTTTTATCGACTTATCTATATCTAGTTGTCTAGATTGTCTGCTGCAAAATCGCAACTCTGCATCTTATCAGACTTATTTGCAACCAATGCGAGCGCCCATTTGCCGCAAAACGATGTAAGATTGCATAGTCACAAGATCGAAAGCCTATGAAATTATCGTTATTAATATCAAAATTAATGTTATATATTACGTATAATTTAAAATTTAATTATATGTATCATTTGAGTGCGTGAGAGTGAAAACCAGGAAATAAAATTTAACCAATCATAAATTTTGTTTCCTGATTTTCACTCTTACGCACTCATTTATAAAATATAGTATATATTACTATTACAAGATAAGGCATATATGTTGTGCCTCAGATTAATGCTTGCGTCAGATGTCAACTTTTTGGCCCGCATTAACTGATCGATATTGATTGACTTAAATTAAGCCCAAATCCTTCCCAGATTCTTACCCTAACCCTAATCTAACTTAGGCCGGTTTTAATCTGACGCAAGAATTAATCTGAGGCACGACATATACATTAGACTCCAAAATTATATAATTTACATTACAACATTATGATATTTTTATAATTTGCAACACTTCTAATAAAATTTGATGTTAAGTCGCAGCCCTAGGTACGGCATAAAAAGTCGCAATTGATATTTACAGCAAGCAATACTATCTATATCTCATCCATAAACCATTTATCCATTTGCCTATTAGATATCTGAAATCTAATAGATAATAGATGGATAACCGAATAATTTTTGATAAATTATTCAGATTTTCACTTGACAATTACACGTTCTAAAGTAATAACAAAAATATAAATCATTTAAAAATTAAAATATCAAAGATAATAAGCAGTATAAATTGGTGAAGTTCTAGAATTCTATTTTTATCCGGGTGAAAATAGAATTATTCTTAGAGATTTTTACCCGTCAAGAAAATCTCAACCCGGCTATTATTAAATTACCCGGTTATTCGGATAAATTACTATAGCCCTATAATAAAAATATCTATCCGGGTACAATCTAGTCCTCGAGTATTATTAAATCACACTAATCTAATATTATATCGGGAAGTCTTTATCGTTATAATAGCAATTTCTATTTTAGTTACAGCTACTAACTAAAATTAGATATATATAAAATAGGCAATATTCTTTACAGACAAATATGTAAAAATTGGATTGCAGGAGTACATACTTTAGCATACTTTCAAATATGTATATTACATACTATAAATGTATTTCTCTAAATGAATGCATATAACGTTTTAATCACAATCTCAAAGTTTAATATAAAACCTCACCATACAATGTACTCCTTGAAGTGCAGGACATTTTGGGTAGATGTATGTTTGAGTAATAAATAGACTATACATACTTGCGTACCAGTAATTAATTACTTTGCGTAATACTGCATATGCAAGATCAGAAATTTTAAAGCTTCAAACTTAGCATTAGGGGTTGGCTTTTAGTAAAAGAATATAATTGGATTTAGTATGGATTGTATTTACAAAACAGTATTAGCCCATGACAAGTAATTAACGTTCTTAGTAATCGTGATATTAAAAATGAAAACCGAATATATTTACAAAAGTTTTGAATGTACATTTATAAATTTTTTTCAATCTGTCCTAACAAAGATAATAAGCATTCATTATTAAATTTACCTAATTAAGAATTATATATTATTTACGGAAGAATTTCTTAATTCACCAAATTCAATATCAATCATTTCATTTATATCATTACACTTATCTTCAGCTTTAGATCCATGTTTCAATAAATTATCAAAAGTTATACTCGTACAACAGTTATTTTCCTTTTTCAAAATAGGTAATTCAGAATTATTTGTATTATAACTTGTTTCCGAAAGTTGTTCCGAAGTATTTAAATTGGAAATCGAGTTTGAAATTTGGTGTGACAAAGCCCTTGAATTTGATAAAAATCCTTCATAACAAATGTATTGAAAAGCATTTCCTATACCGCCAATATTAATCGATAGTACACAAAGATAATAAACCCATAAAGGATCATTTCCACTGGCTACTCCTATAATAAACGGTAATGTTGGCGTCTACATTGAAAAAAAAAAAGATAGGAGAAAGAATTTAACCCCATGAAAATATAAGTAATTTAACTCCATAAAAAGAAAAGTAATTAACTCCTTGAAATAAACTTAAAAGCAAACCCATTGAATTAAGTAATTAAAAGTATAAGCCAAAATTTTTCGTGTAGCAGTTTTTTGTTGTACATCATTAATTCCAACATTTCCATCAGGTCTTCGAATTGTTATAATTGTATAGATTATGTGAGAGTAACAAACTATGCATAACAAAGCAGTTATTGATATTAAACTAGAAATTGAAATTGCAAGTGACCATTGACCCGGAGAACTCCAACACCTATTATATAATTATTTAATAATATTTAATATGTAAAAAATATGATAGAATACATAAATATAGGAGTACGTACGTACCAATATTTTGATGGACCATACGATGGTAACCCAATACAAGCAAATATTAACGCATTTATAATCATAACTAAGAATAATCTGTAATTAACAATTATTGTTACACGATTATTTTAAGAATTAATACGTACGAATAGTGAAAAAATTACACAATTACATAATGATTAGAATTTTTGACACAACACATTACCTATGATCATATTTTCCAGTATCAAGATAAAAATTCTTTATAACTTTTAAATAAGTACGAATTGTTACCAATGCTACAAGTGTGATACTGATAATACAATAATAAATTTTTAGTATATTCAAAAATACAAAGAAAAAAATTAAATAAGGAAAGTAGGTAAATACAGTAGATTACCTCATCGAAATCATAAATACATCAAAGAAACCATAGATTATACAAGCTTGACCAGTCCAAGGTACACCAATAATTAAAGCCCCGACAACATTCGCAAGGTAAGACAGACATGACAATGAATTATTGATCGCTATGTACATTGGCAATCGAATTCCCATCGATAGATTGTTATTTTTCTTAATTCTTCGACGAGTTTGGAATATCACGAAAAGGCTTCCTATTAGGCTAGCCTTTTTTGTAAGACAATTGATATAATCAAAATGAATGTGTGAATAGATGCGTCATACAGTATTTTAAAGTTTGACATCAAAGTAAATTTACTTACTTGAGATAAACATAGAGCTATACATTTCAAAAAGATATAGTAAGATTAGAATACATCTACGAAGCAAATAAGAACATTAAAAGATCACAAGCATTGTATAAATGTGATTTACATATATAATGTAATAGTCTTCCATCGTTGTCATTTGGATTGGTATTAGGATAAAATTTATGATATTCAGTTATTGCGCTTTTCTCGGAAATTTCTGGAAAATCACTGCATTCCACAAGCATCGAATTTGAGAAGAATATTAAAAAAAGGAAAGACAAAATTTGAAGGGATATATGATTTATTTTCATTTCTGAAGGATAGATTAAAAAGAATGGTTCCACCGAAAGTAAACTTTATTGTAAGAATAGGCCGAAAAATGAATCAAATTAATAATCTATACATTTATAATTAATTCATATACAAGATGGGAAGTCTACATTCTCTCTTAAAGATCCTTGGAATAAGAAGAGAAAGAAGAGCCAGCATCAACGTCCTACAAAGAGGGCATAACTTGAATAGAGCAATTTAAAAGAAAAAAAAACCATTAAAATTTTTATTATTTTATCTTTTCATTTATAATTTTTATGTTTCTGTTTGAATCGTTTAATTATGAAACCTTAGGTCAATCACGTAATGAGTTTAACTGTTTTTGAATTAGAAAGACCACATTGGCCAGTTTTAACCTGTCTTGATAGAACAAAAAAGGAATATTATGTCTATAATAAAAAGACTATTATGAAAAACAAGCTCTTTGAGGGATATTTGATTCATGAACTAATAATAATCAATATAGCATTCGAATAGTAGCTTATCATCTAAAAATCTCTAAGTGTATCATCGTGAGGATAATATTTTAAGATATATTTTAGTTTCTTTCAGATTTTGAATAATAAAGTCATCTAGGTCAAATTTTAGTTCAATGATGCATATTATGTGACAAGAGAGCTGACATGAGTAATTTTCGGGTTGGCGTTAAATCAGAGACAATTATCCGGATATATTGTATAAAAAAAGTAAACCATTCGCGCTTGATCCTTTAAAAGTTCAACAATACGCGAAAATTTGGCATTGTCATGCATTGTGGTCGAAACCATTAAGTTAGAGTGAAAATTTTTTTTATGCCTTTTACTTTTTTGGTTAGAAGATAAGATCAATATCAGATAAATCAATAGAATAGTGATTATTAGGACAGTAATCAATCAATAAATTAGATAAACAAAGAAAAATGGTTCAATGAATTTTTCGAGTCGTAACAATTTCATTTGTCAGTATAAATATTCGACAATTATGCATTCATCGTGCGACACTGATTTTGCATATCTGTGATACGAATTAATCTTTTTCTGATTTATCACGTAATATTAAGTTATCAGACACGAAACGCGGTATTTTGAGTATAAAAGGCATTAGCATACTCTGATATTAGTGATTGTATGATTGCATGCATAAGTTGGTATATTCAGGTATATTAATTAACAATTCATGAGACACAGATACGTTTAATCTAACAAATAATGTGTCTGTATTAAAATTCATTAATTGCTGATCCGGATAAGATCGGCACAATTTCTATATTAGAATTTGGGGCAAAATCCCTATGATGTTAACTAT